TGAGATACACGAAAGCTTACCATAAAAGCAGCTTCCTATCAACCGTTTGTTGGGCTTCTCTCAATAGCGGCCTGCCGTTGCCAGTGAATGAAGAAACACCGGCTAACGGTGTATAGAGCTCGTTGACGCCCACGTCGTCTCCGATCGTCATCCAGCTTTGTTGGGTCTGAAAATATGTAAAGATAAGTACTGATAGCAGAAAACATATCTGGAGTTGAGATATATCAGAAGGATTGGGATGGAGATGGTTAAACAGTCATGGTGTTCAACCTTTGTTGTCGGAGTTACGCTGACTTTTCAATGATGAGACATCACCACTACGACACTGGTTGGGACGACTTACAGTGGGGCCATTTGCATTTCTAGAACCTGGCTAACAGCAGTCATAATTGCTGCTCAGTGGTTAACAATGTTGGGAACTTCGTCTTGGCAATCAAACCATCTTCCAATCCCGCTGTCAGAGACCCCACCTAAAGAATCAGTTTCCAACTCACCGTGGACTACAAAGCGATTCTTTCCTTGGGTAGTGTTGGGCGCAAGGTGATCTCCCTGTGCTGTCCACCAAAACGACTGTCTGCCGAAGTGGTGTTTGTGGGATACACAGTGTAACACCTTATTTAAGAAGCACCTTCGAAGGCCACTCGCTGTGGAAGCCAATCGTAGTTCGCAAGAAATTCTCGCATTAGAATCATCCCTGTGGACCATCTATCCAGCCTCAAACTGTCAAAGCCTTACAAGTCGGTCCATTGAAATACGTAGTTCAGGTGCCTGGTCTTGAATATAGGGTTTGGTGTATTTTCTGAGGTGCTGTCGAAAAGGGTTGTCTGGTGCGGGGAACCGCAATCGATCGTCATGTTGGAGATGAATGGCGTGCCCAGCCGATCCCGCTCACCTGGGCTGCCGCTTGCCATCATCGTCATGGTCGGGGTCGTGTTATAACATGCGGGGTGAGCCCGATGCTGAAAAGATACATTATAATATTCGACCAAGAAGACGCGCACTGCAAGTCGAACCTTTAAACCCTTCTACATACTCCTCATCTTGTGCAAATTTCCTCGATATGTCCTCGCCTGTCAACTCAAATGGTACTCTTGCCCTTCCGGAATGGAAGCGACCAGAAAAGACAAAGAATGAACTGCCCTGGGCTGATATCAAGACCATCGATTTGCAGAAGTTCGGCCTGCTTGGCGGCAAACAAGAACTCGCGGAGGAACTGCGAGACGCTGTGAGCAGCCATTTCATATCTCCTTCGAGTTGTTACTGACAGAGTAGGTCCGTTCAACAGGATTCTTCAGCTTAATCAACACAGGCTTCAGCCCAGAGGAGGTTCAAAGGCAATACGACATTGGTAAGAACTTTTTCGGCCTTGAAACAGTCGATAAAGGACAACCTCAATACCGGTGTGACTTTTCGCAAGGCAACTACTTTGGTTGGCGTGCTGCACACGAAAAGACAATCATGGGAACCGACATCCTAGACAATGTCGAATCTGTGAACATAGCTAAGTTCATTACAAAATATGCTAAAGAACCATTACACCCATTCTTCCATCCGTTCAAAACCGAGATTGAGAGCTTTTCGAGGGTAAGTTCTGCCACAAAAGTTTAAGGTTCACCATTGACATCCAGACTCAGAAGTCTCTCGACTTGGCCAGCAAGGTCTTGACTCTCTTTTCGATCATCCTTGAGTTGCCCGAGGATTATTTCTCTTCCCGCCATGCTTACGAATCGCCCAGTGAAGACCACTTACGGTACATGACTTATCATCCTCGGCCCCTTGAAGATGATGTCCGTGTTCAGAACACCTGGTCGCGAGCCCACACTGACTTTGGCTCTTTGACACTTTTATGGAGTCAGGACGTTGCGGGCCTACAAGTCAAGACCGCATCTGGTGAATGGCGATATGTGCCGCCTGTTGATGACGGCATAGTTTGCAATGTCGGCGACACGCTCGACTTCTGGTCTGCCGGATACCTCAAATCAACAACACATCGGGTCATTCGTCCGCCTGAAGATCAGGCGCATCTCCATCGCCAAGGTCTTTTTTACTTCGTACGCCCGGGAGACGACGTCGACATTAAACCAGCACCATCGCCACTGTTGAAGAGGCTGGGTCTAATTGAGGATGACTACAAAGCCAAGGCGCCAGTCACAGGTCTACAATATGTTAGAGAGAGAGTGAAGAATTATCACAATCACAATGATTATGCAGATATGAAAGGACAAAGGTTCCGCGTGGGAGACTTGGAAATCGAAGACGAAGCAGCATGACGATCATAGGAAGTCGGGATACTGGAAGGACACAACATATCGATTGGTCATTGCTAGCTTGAGTGTATTTCCTCGAAGAAATCAGAATAGTAGCTCAGGGATGTCTTCCATTCTTTCCCGTTTAGTCCGATCGCAAATTATGTTGGGCAGTTGCTGCCGCACAGCGCCCCTTTTCTTTTCTTCTGGCAGCGAAATAAGCCAAAGAACCATGAGAGCCCTATCAAACAACATTCTCACGGTAATTATAATCGCACAATGGTTGAGAAGTCACCGGAATAAGTTGTGGTGTGCTGAAGTCATCAGTATGACAACTCTCAACGGTGGTTGACCGGGTCACGGACAAGGAAACAAATAGCTGGCCATGAAATTTATTTACATCAAGCGTAGTGATTTCCAGCCCACTACATAACGGAACAGCTTCATAATTCTTGACATGCAGCTGCAGAAGTGCATGCTGAGAATAGGGTTTTGTTGCTTCGTTCGGCGTTGGGTTGAGAGTGCTGAAATTGATCAGGGTCAGTCCCGTTGTTTTCAAACACGGCACGTGGTGCTCGTGGGAGCAACAGACTATTCCATTCACCGGGACTGAGAGGGGAACAGCAGAATTGTTAAAGGTACAAGCATTACGATATTCACTCTATCCACAACGAACGGAAGCCTTAAATACTGGGCAATCTACCATGTGTTTCCATTCCCCTTTGCAAGCTCATGCACTTCATGAAGGAAAACTCAAGAGACCCCGAGAGAAATATCGTGCCAGTCCACAAGCAAGAAGAAAAAACCGACCTTGAAACTTTACCCTGACGAATTCCTTCCGCCAATATGCCCACCTACTCCGCAATGAAATGGACATGCTGCCAATGCCAGCGACGTGCTTATAACACACAGCACTTCACGATGGAAAAGCCCCCAACGTGCCGCGCCACGGTCAAACTTCCCTGCGGACACGAACAATGTGACGATTGTACGAAAAAGAAAGGTCTTCGGACCTGTTGCCAGTGTAATCGCCGAATGAACAAAGCTTTGAATCCCACCTGTAGCGCCTTCGTTCAACCCAAGGTGGCCGTGCTCTGTGGGCATTTGTGGTGCGCCAACTGCACCCCTTCGGCCCCTGACGTTGGCACAGAGAGGGGCAATCTTCTCTGGGAGATCACCAAATTTCGAAAAGCCACCGAAGACAAGGCTCTCAGGCAGTTTGCCCAACCTGTAGTCCAGCCTCGACGTGTGCGACCGGATGGCCGACATCCACTCCCTGATAGTCGACCTCCTCTGGAGGCAGCTCCTGCAATCCCGAGGTCCCCCAGAAAAGAATTCCTCCCGCCGTGTCTGACTGGTGCGCCCCTGCCCGATATGGCTGAACCTCGACCTAGAGGCCTTCCGACATACCCAGCTTGTTTTCCATTCGGACCCCCTTGTATCTGGATCTGCTGCCATTGCCAGTCAGGCGGTAGTCCATGGACGGTTTGTCTCAAATGCGGGCATGGATGGTGTGCTGACCAATGCTTTCCACGCAGAAATCATGAATGATGGATAGGTTAGTCGTGGAGTCATACTGGTGCTGGCCATCAAAAAAGATTACTGGTCTATGAAGTAGATTTCTGGCAAGGTTCGGAAGGACAGAGTATGAGCGATGTTGTTGCATGACTTCTTTCGAGATAGCCGGGGGTGCTGCAAGGTAAGTCAGGTAGATTCAGCTCTCAAAGGAAATTAGGATGAGATAATTGTGAGCTAGATGATACGCGAACTGCAAGTTTCCTAGCGATAAGCGCCTCTAATTGTCATACGCCTCATTGCTGATTGTAACGATGTACTAGGAAGAAGTACAGTGGTGAGTGATGCATGGTCCGCCAGTCTGTTGCATAAGGCATGAGTGCCAATCGCTCACAAAGCATGACCCCGACATGGCGCGGTGTCCCAATCTGGGCTAATCAAAAAAGACAGCACATTCCAATGATTCCAGCCAGCAGCATGAGAGACGCCGTGTGACGTCCGGCGGCGCTAGGTGTCTCTGTCGGCGCGCTCGCCTCATCGGCTCCCGTTGTGGTGAGAATCGTCGTAGCCGCCCCGGAGCTGGGAGTTGCCGTTCCCGAGGTAGCAGCAGAAGTTTTGATGGAAGACGGCGCAGCTGAGATCGAAGCCGTCTCATCATCGTCATCACCCTCATCATCGCCGTCATCTTCCGAAGGCACCTCATCAGCACCAGGGAGAGAGTCCCATGCAGGGTAGTCAACGCCAGGGCACTCGGCAGTGCACTCGTATGTCTTCCTGTATGCGGACTCGTCCTCCTTATTGTCGGGATAAAACTGGACCATGCAATCCCTGGCGCAAGCATATGCCTCGCAGGGAATGGTGTCCGAGTCACCGACGTTGAATCCTTCCAGCTCAGGCTTGCTCCATTCGCCTTTGCCACCGTTGAGAGTAAATTCGTTGCTGTACTGGAAGCCAGACGGACCGTCGAGACTCGGGTCTTCATTGAACTCCATGACGGAGATCATGACGTCGCTGCCATCGGGAACGACAGATGGCGGTATTGTCACCTTCACGCTCGTTTCGTCGATGGCCGTAGCGTTGACGAGGTGACAGGCCGGACCGGTGCCCCAGCCAGGAGGCGTTGTGGCGAGGTAGACACGGAACTTCTCGAAGCCAGCGTCGAAAGAGTCCGAGTCCGCGAGGTCGTTAACGATGGAGACCTCGACCTCCTTGCCTGCCTCGACAGTAGGCGCGATCCTAATCGAGGTGAATGCTACAACATTTGAAGCTGCAGTCAGGGCGATGGCCAGCTTGGTGTAAGAAGCAACCATGTTGAATGAGTGTCGTGAAAAGAACGTAGAAGTGACAGCGCAGATGCGATTATGAAAGCCGCGAACGAGTGGCAAACGATCTGAATGAAGATCAGGAATTTAAAGAAGGAAGTCGACTGAATCTGCTACCATTTCAATCATCGGTTAAGTCTGGGATTTAAAGCTGACTATGGGCGAGACCGGCAATAACGGCGTAGCTAATGAAAAGGGGCCCAAACCCGTCTGTTCTAGAGCGGCGCCATCGAATCCTTCGTCGGTGATTGCTGAGTTTTGCCCACACAACCCCTGTAGGTCTGCCCGAGCGGCAAAAAGGAAATCGGATAGCTTATTGGCCTTCCACAGCGACCAGAAATTGTTCACTGGAGCAAAGCCCCCGTACCAGCCTACGGTACAATCCGTACCTATTCTTTTCCCAGGTATTTGTTGTTGAGTCGACGAGCTAAAAGAGCAGGCGCCTTCGTCATGACAATCATGGTGATCGCGGTCATGAAAGGAATGAATTACTATAGCTGCCTCTTTAGTATCAGGCATTATTTCGCAACCAAGATTGATCCTGAAAGGCTGACTGTTCGATGCGGAGATAAATAGCATGTGAAAGTTCGACCTTCATATCGTTTCCTTCGAATCATTTGATCGAGGAAACAACGAACACCGTCTCCTAACGCCAAGTCAGGCCGTAAAAGCCCCTATTCCCCCCCCCCTCAGCCCTCGTCGGCATCCATGCCATCGTGCCTCCTTTTCGAATCACCAACAAATTTGCCCTTCAGAACGGCTCCCTTCTTGCCGCGGTTCTCCATTAGGTGCTTCATCTCAATCCTCGCGTGCCTCTGTGCCTCCTCGACGCGTGCCTGGAACACCATGACTTCTTCCTTCTCCGTAGGAAACTCGTCAAGCTTCTTCCCCATGGACGCCTCAATGCGAAGCCAAATCTCGAGATCGTACTGCGTGACGAGACTGAGCGCGCGACCCGACTTGCCAGCACGAGCGGTACGACCGACACGATGAATATAAGTTTTACTATCCTGAGGAAGGTCGTAGTTGATGACGACATCAACATTGGGAATATCGAGACCACGAGCGGCGACATCAGTAGCGACAAGGATGTCGCGAGAGCCAGCGCGGAACTTGTTTAGGGCTCCAAGACGAGCAGATTGAGACAGCTGGCCATGTAGGGGAAGAGCGGAGAATCCTAGGGTTCGAAGAAGGATTGCAAGGCGCTGTGTGTCGTGAACCTTGTAGTCATTAGCGGGGGTTCCACCTTGAGCAACAGGCCAAGCACATACTGTACGGAGGAAGACAATCGTGGTCTGCCCGATGAAGGAGTTGATGAGATGAACGCAGTAGACATCCTTCAGCGCATGTGGGATAAAAAGAAAGTTCTGCAGCAGCGTCGAAACGACCTGATATCCATTGGACTGAACCGAGACACGGGCAGGATCCTTCAGACTGGCACGCTGGAGAGACTCAACCTTGGAGCTCATTGTCGCGGAGAACAGGTAAGTGTGGCGTTCGCCTGAGCTACGGTCAGTCACAAGGTACCACCGCTGGAGAAAACACCACCTACGAGGAATGAACTTAAGAATCTTATCGATTGAGGGGCCAAAGTCCATGTCGAGCAACTGAGAATACGAGTGAGCATTCGGGGACGGCGGTCGTAGAGAGGGATTGAACCTACACGATCCGCTTCATCGAGTACGAGATACTTGAGCGAACCTGCATCGCATGTCAGACAGTTCTTTGCAGCTCAGAACAGAAAGACGTACGAAGAGAAAACCCCTTAGTCTTCTCGAGATGATCCAGCAATCGACCCTGAGTCACGTTAGCATGGGAAACGAACGAGAGAGATCACCCGGCCAAGAGATGCATACCGGCGTCGCAACGACAACATGAGGTTTCTTTCCCAGCGCGATGGCCTGCTGCACCATGTCCAGACCACCGACGATGACGGCGCATCGCAGGTTGATCAGGGAGCCGAGGGCCTCGAAGGTCTGCGCAATCTGGGCCGCCAGCTCGCGAGTCGGGGCCATGACAACGGCGAAGAGGCCGGACGGCTTTTCGAGAAGGGCTTGTAGTACAGGCAGTGCGAAAGCAGCCGTCTTTCCCGAACCTGTCTCCGCGAGGCCAATGACATCGCGGCCGGCGAGAGCGAGAGGGATGCTCTTCTCCTGGATGGGGGTCGGGTGCTTGTAGCCGAGAGCTTCGGTGGCTTCGACGAGAGATTCGACGACACCCTGGGCCCAGAATTAGCAAGCTGCGATTGATCGTTCTTCTAATCAGTCAGAGCGTACCAGGTCCGCGAAGCTCTTCTTGGCTACTGGTGCGTCATCTTGGTTCGCCGCCGCCTCGTCAGTCGTTGAGGCAGGCGGGGCGGGCTCGGGCGATTGTTCTTTTGTCGGCGCGGGCTTGGAAATGGCAGCAGCAGGCTTAACAGCAGCAGCCGCGCCGTGCTTGATTTTTCGCCGCTTCTGTGAGTGAGCGTCGGTCATGTTGGGTGGTTATATCCTAACAAGTCTCATGACCAGCAGGGAAGCAAAAAGTTGTCCAAGGCGACAAGCAGATCAATGTTAGAAGGCACTCTAGAATATTTTCAGCGGGGCTCCAAGGGTCATGAATGGGGGAACCCTGCAAAGAGCTTCCGATAAAGCATTTTATGGGTCCTTATCGGAACAGGCCCCTCGAAAGTTTTTTGCAACTCTGACCCGTCGCCTTTCTCCTTCGACCAGCCTTGCAAAAGGGTTCACCGCAGACAGCTCGTCTGTTGACCACCCTACACGAATTTGATCGCCTGACGACACGCCAATCCTCACAATGGCGCGTCGCCGTACCAAGAAGAAGACCCATCTGGGCGCCAACAACCCCGAGACAGCCGCGCCGGGTCATGCTACCATCAGCGACCCCAAGTCCATGGTCATCCGTATCGGTGCCGGTGAGGTTGGCTCCAGCGTCTCCCAGTTGGCAGCCGACGTCCGCAAGGTCATGGAGCCTGGAACCGCGTCGCGCCTCAAAGAGCGCCGCTCCAACAAGCTCAAGGACTACATCGTCATGGCTGGACCCCTTGGCGTCACCCATTTCCTCCTCTTTTCAAGGTCAGAGAGCGGCAACACCAACCTGCGCATCGGCCTTACGCCGCGCGGCCCGACAATGCACTTTCGCGTCGAAAAGTACTCCCTCTGCAAGGATGTTCAGCGCGCGCAGAGGCATCCCAAAGGCTTTGGCAATGACGCCGTCACACCGCCTCTGGTGAGTCTTTCATCTCCTCTGCCCTGGAGCACCACCAGCACACCCCAGCTAACTGAGCCAGCTCGTCATGAACAACTTCTCCGCCCCCAACGCCACCTCTAAGTCGGCCGTTCCCAAGCACCTCGAGTCCCTTGCCACGACCGTCTTCCAGTCCCTTTTCCCCCCCATCAACCCGCAGTCGACCTCCCTTAAAACCATCCGTCGTGTCCTCCTATTGAACCGAGAGATCGACCCGGAGAATGAGGGTTGCTTCATTCTTAATTTCCGTCACTACGCCATCACAACGCGCGCTACTGGTCTGTCCAAGCCGCTGAAGCGTCTCAATGCCGCCGAGAAGCTCGTGGCCGGCAAGACGGGCGGTCCCCGTCAGAAGGGCGGCGTGCCCAATCTCGGCAAGCTCGAGGACATTGCTGATTACATGATTGGCGGCGATCACGGCAACGGCTACATGACGGACGGCGGCACGAGCGGTAGCGAAGTCGACACAGACGCCGAGATTGAGGTTCTCGAACGGAACCCCAAGAAACTTTCTACCGGCAAGCCCAAGCCGGCGACGGCGGCGACCGCGGCCGACGATTTCGAGGACCAAGAAGACAACGACGAGGGCGTCGAGCGCCGTGCCGTTAAGCTTGTTGAGCTCGGGCCCAGGATGCGCCTGCGACTGACCAAGGTGGAGGAGGGACTGTGCTCTGGCAAGCCAATGTGGCATGAATACGTGCAAAAGAGCCGCGCTGAGGAGCAGGAGCTTGATCAGCGTTGGGAGAAGAGGAAAGCCGACAAAGAGGCCCGGCGCAAGGAGCAAAAGGCCAATATTGAGAGCAAGAAGGCGGCTAAGAAGGCCAATGGCGGGGCCAGGGGTGATGACGAGGACGAGGACGAAGACGAGGACATGGAAGATTATGATGACTACGAGTTTGATAGCGAGGGCCTCGAGGGTGATGGCGAGATGCAGGTCAACGAGAAGGCCGAGGAGAACGGCGAGTGGGAAGATGAGGAAGAGGAGATCGCCAACGGTTGATTACATCGTCTGGCATCGTGACATCGCTTCTCGTCTTCTCGTGTAGTCTATCTAGTCCTTGAGCGTACAATCGACCCATCTGTTAATCTGTTCTCGCCTCTCAATTCATAATCCCGCGTTCGACAGAAGGCCTGAGCGAGCGACGGACGTCTCCGATGCCGGTCAACGCCTCCACATTGTAAGCGGCGTTTAGACCATGCGATCCGCTACAAACCCCGACCCTAAGCTGCAGTGCAAAATCTTCCATTCTCGCGGTCAAGAACACTTTCCATCTCAAGTTTAAATGAACGTTTCAGAGTCTGCTAGGTTTATTAGAGACAATAGAACCATAGGGTCATGAGAGTCGCTCGAGTCTACCCACCCCAACCAACGATGGAAGGTGGGTGGAGGGAGACAGCTCACTGGCTGTCGTGACTCAGAAACCAGCACCAATGGCAAAGCCGCCACCAAGCCGATTTCAGTACTAATTATGACTCCTGGCCGAAGATGAGGTTGACACTTCAGCTCCTCCAAGCTATCTCGTGTCACATATGCACAATCAAATGTAAATGCCTGAAATTTTGCATGATGTAGAATACAGGCAATGAGCCCACAGACCACCTCTTGACCGTCATCGTAGCCTCGATCCTGTGATCCATGCCAACCATGCCATTCACAATCTGGGTCACGGCCCCTGCCAGTACGTCATATGTACATGTAGATGCGATCCCGAGGGGTCAGCCAGCTAGAGCCTCAAGGTGTGCCTCCTTCTATGTGCTGAGCAGTAAGTAGTAAGCGGGACGAAGTGCAAGAGATTCATCGACAGAAAGAGACACGTCGGGGCCCAATGCCGTCTCCTAATCAAGTCCATCTGCATAGGTATATAGTGCACCTTGAAATGTGCCAGCGTTGCAATACATTGCCTCCACTCGAAATCGTTGTACGAATGAGCCCGTGCCACTCTGCAGGACAGCGAGCGCGACAGAGAAAAAAAAAAGTGAGAACAGCGAATCTGCTGCAGGGAAAAATCCATTCCCCATCCCTTTCCACCCAATGAGACGTCCACGACGCACCCCGCCCCACGGCAAGTAGCGGTGACGCTCCTCCCCTGCCCTGCCCCACCACATCCTAGCGCCAAAGAGCCACCTCCAAAATGCCATCTGGCAGTGAACCCATCCAACCCAAGCCACTGTACCGCCATCAAGCTCACTGGAGCCGCAGCATCATCCACCCCTACGGTGCCCTTGCTTGCTTGCTTGTCTGTTCACTCGTTCGAAATCGCACTCGAATGCACGGACCATCGCACCCCCACCGGGTCCTGGAAAAAGTTTCGGCGTCAAAGTCGAACGTCGTCTCCTCCTTCCTTCCTCTCTTTCCCGTAGGCAATTCTCAAAATTTCACAGACCAGACCCCCAAGTCAATAATCAACAACATTCTACCCCCCTTAACAGAACATACCAAACACAGAACTTTTCTCGAAAACCATGTCCGCCGTCGCTGAGCTGTGAACTCCCACTGGCGGGAGGCGTCCTCCCCGCTCCCATCCGGGGTACGGCGTCTCCTCCAGTCCACCAGCACATCGAGACATTCAACAACCCTCAGTTTTCGAAGAAAAGTTCCAGCCAGGCCTTCACTGCTTGGAGTCCGCCAAAAAGGACGACATCGTATTCTGCGCACGCGCCTGCTACTAGACACACCAACACACTCGCGACCCTGCCCGACACGCCTGGGGCAACGCAAACCAACTACCTCAACCTCGAAAAGCGCCCCTCCTCCCCCCGTCTCGCCCACGACACCCATTTTCTCTCCTGCTCTTTTTCTCGGAAACAACTATACAAGCATCTTTCCTGCTTTCATACGCAACAGCTACTCGACAAGCGTTCAGTCCATTCACAACCTGCCATACACCCCACTTCACCGCTCCTAAACAAAACTCCCCGCACTGCAAACCACAATCTTCAGCTTCCACGCCTGACCCGGCTCAAACCACAATACCTTCCATCATGTCTCGCAACATTCGTCAAAAGTTCCCTTCCGGCCCCCGCAAGGTCGCCCGGCGTCGCAGTTCAGTCACCTCTTCCTCCTCCTTCGACCTTTCAGACGAAGATGGTGGCTACTCTGCCGTCGAGGACATCAGTGATTCTGAGGATAACGATGAGGAGGATGTTGATGCGGCCGAGGAGGAGCATATTATCACTCGGGTGCTGCACCCCAGCAACGCCAGTTCCCCTCGGCCACAAAGTCCGCAAGCAGTGGTGGTACCAGCAAGTGTAGAGCCAGAAGAAGAGGATGACGAGGATGAAGACGACGAGGAAGACGAGGACGATGAGACTGCAGACGCTGATGTGGATGACGGCGGTAGCTGGGACGGTATTGTTTCTGAAGTTGATGAAACTGTCAGCTCCGACAACCATGCGACACCGCACCGCGCTGCCCATGAGCGCCACGTCCGCTTCGTCGACGTGCCCTCGAGTGATTCGGACTCGACTGAGACTGAGGATGACCACGCCGACTTCTTCCCAGACCTGTTTGTCGACCAAAACACGCTAGATCCGTCCTTCCGCCGCGAGATCGAACAGGATGACGACGACAACAGCTCCTCCCATTCTGGCTCCTACTGGGATTTCCATGGCGTGTACGAGTACAATGCTAGTGCTGACTCGGAGGTTGAAGCGATCATCCAGGAATTGGAAGACGATAACACCCCGGTTGCCACACCCTTCCCTCTTCAAGATGCCCCAGAGATCCTTGAGCAAGCTGCTAGAGCAGTTGTCGAGGAGGAGCCGGAATCGGACGGCTATGAGAGTGAGTCCTTGATCATAATGACGTGCCAGCAGCACAGTATGCTAATATTACCACTCTCCAGCGGATGGCGACACAACCGAAGAAGATGATGATGTTCCTATCCCTCCTGTACGGCGCAAGGAGCGTCGGCCATCACCTGTGGACCAGTCGGATGAGTCTGACACGGGTGAGCCAATTAAAGGACGCCGTGGTCAGCCACGAGTCGGGCGCTTTAACTTGGACAGCTCGGATAGGAAACCGATTGCGGTTGTGAACCCCATCTCGAGGAAGATGATGATCTTCACTCCGCACCGTCGTCGACACCTCGACCTATCCCCAGAGCAGTTTAATCTTCCCGCGTACGGTGTGCAGTCTTCGCCCATGCTGGGAAGCTCCGCGCACATCATGATGAGCGCAATGTACTCGTCAAACACTGGTTTTGGGAACTTGATGAACACCCAGGCCATGGGGCCTGCAGAGGCCTTCTTCCCTTTCCCCTCCGAGCCCAACACAGCGGACGAAAGCTCAGACATGGGCCCAGAAGGCGAAGACGAAGCCGAGAGGAGCTTGGACATCGACGACTTTATCACATTCGATGCTGGATCGCACGCCGACGATGATGATGACGATGATTGGTGTCGAAGCGATGCTTTGGCGTCGACCCCTGCCCGGCCCACAACCGCCTCAAGCGAAGGCGATTTGTTGTCGCATGTCAATGCCAGCAATGTCGGCGCTTTCCGTCGGGACCAGATCAACCAGCGTCTCATTCTGAGTGAAAAGGCGACCCAAGATTCCTTGGCCTTCAGCAGCCCGTACAATTACACAGCTCTGAGAGGCATCAAATCGGATCGTTTCGAGACGGCGGCGGCTCCATTGACGCCCATGCGACGCCAAAAACGTCAGATGCAAGATATGTCGCGCAGCCCCTTGGAGACTGCGTCTCAGAAACGGAAGGCTTCGAACGAACATGGACTTGGCCATAAAAGACATCGGAGCATATCCGATGTGAACCAATTGCGCATATGATGGGGACAACTGGACAGGCAGCGTTGAGGAGAAGGTGGATAAACGAATGAGGATGGCGTGGTCCGGTGGCGTCCTGATGGTCGACATTGGCCATCCCTGGCCTCAAGCTTGCTTTCGCTTCGCTCGTATATTAGCAGAAGCGACAGGCTCATCTTTTGTTGTTTGTTTTGTTCGAGCGTGCTGTTGATGGGTGCACCTAGTAATTATGGTGGCATTGGAGCACCAGCTCGCTATGAGGGTTGATATCCTCACGCAGGTAGACCGGAACACATCGAACGTCAGATAGTTCAACCCTTTATCATGTATCTCTGGGATGCGCCGAGAGAACACACGTGACTTTTAAGTTGAATGGAGGTCACAATTACGCGACGGGATTAATCTGTCGGACGTCGAATCCGTCTCGCCCAAGTCAAATTTACGCCACTATGGTGAGACAGGGGATGCTGCGCGGTTCCGACATCATCTTGACGGGAAGAAACCCTCGAAGCCGTATACACGAAACTTTACGCTGCCGCTTTTAAAGATGCAGCCGAATCCAATAAGAAATCCTTGGAGAGCTGATGCTTGGTAAGTAAGAGCTTGTAGCAAACCTTCGGTGACGTAGGTGGTCGGGAGAACGCTTGCAACGAATGCTCCAGACACTGCACGTAGATCGTTGCCCAGTCCATGAACGTCCCACGGCAGTATAGATTCCAAAGACTAGATCATCGAAGACCGTGAAGTGATGACAGAAAGGTATATCGGTTCTCGGTGTTGGGGGGGGGGGGCATACGTGCGAATCGCCAGGTTAGTGTTGTGTAAATATTGCTGAGTTCAGTCCACTGGGGGCACCGGGAGATCCGACTTGTACACCTGGACAGGCGAAGCATGAACAGACGATCTGGTTCTGACAGATATGAGAACGGCAACAGCCACACAGCTTGATGGTCCGCTCCAGAAGAAAGTCTGGGTGATGCAGATGAAAGACAACCGATCGTTGGTGCGGAGACAGAGCCAGGCCTAACCACTTTGTTTAACCGGCAATGCTCACTGAGTACAAATCAAGGTTCTTGTGAGATGGAAAAAACGAATAGGCAAAGTGTCAGAGGTTACGATGAGTCGACCGCTGAGCGATGACACGACGCTGTCAGTTGCAAAGAAGAACAGTGTATCATCCGTGCCAACCATCGAATTGGACGGGCAGTCATTACGATAATTTGAAGAGCCTTGACAACTCCTGGGGCTTGGCAATGGTTCGGTCAGGATCTCCACAGAGAAAAGGGGCAGAGCTCTATCGAGGTGATCAAGGCCACTACGTTGGCAGTCCGTATGGTGTGAGGACATCGGCTCAAGAGTCGACAAGTAGGCCAGAGTCTCTCGTGCCGACAGCGCTCATGGTTAGAATGAACAGCGCAAGGCGTGACTATTAAAATGTCAATGCTAGTGTGGGAGCAGGTTGGTAGTTGAAGGGAGACGGGGGCTAAAGCAAGCCTGAAGGCAAATCTTCTGAGCTGCATGGACATGGACGTACTGACAAGCGATAATGTTGTCTATCAAAACCGAAGAGCCTAAGTGCAGCCATGCAAGTAATGCCTGTTGGGCTTGGGTGGCGAAATCGGTGAAGAAAGAAACGGTAAGCCATGTGGAAACCAGAGGTGAAGTGAAGATGCCAAGTATATAGTTGACTACTCATTTTAGGTTACTAAGCTTACTTGGCCTGTCCGCTCGTTACAGCACGGTAGTAAATATTCGTTGACTAGTGGAACCAGTTACCTGTCTTCTTGTGAGGGTGTACCAGGTCTTCGCTAAATACCGTACTATGTGCCGACAGGTAGCATCCCTTTTTTTTATGCCACCCACTAGTAGTGTGTCCAGGATCGGCCACCCGCCAACATGATCGCCGGCCCAACCAGATCCTTTGAGGACTGTCAAACGGGCTGCTGACTTACCTGCACGTGATCATATCTGTGAAGGTGAGGGGCATTGGGCTCTATGTTTCAAGTGTAACGATTCGCACAAGATCATGATTTAACATCCCTTTTGAAGTTGCCTCACGGGCCGAGGGAATGGTGTCGGAGATTCTCAATTCTGCTGTAGTAGTGCTGCTAACTGGCAAGTTTCAAAAGCCCGGCAGACAATTGGATATAGACAGAGGGCTCGACTTCATAGTTCGATAAGCCACCCATTACCGGCATCACTGTATCATCCACCATTATGATCCTAGATGTCGGATGTCAAAGTCCCATTTCGGTACAACCTGCTCCTTTAATTATCATTACCCGATCGCATCTGATCAATTTATGTAGTTCAAACCTTAGACAGGCTTGAGCCAATCTGTTGAACCAATATTAGGGAGTTCCCTAGGGCGGTGATCCCGATGGGGGATCACCGATATAGTGATCACCGTGGCCACGGATTCACAGCTCCCAAGAGCACGTGAATCATAGCTTACGTGATCGGTGAATCAAATGGGTATATCTAACTCACAAGGGTAGCGATAATCCATAGAGATAGTATCAATTACATCACAAGACTTATATCACCTACCCTACGTATTCAGAGCTCTCAGGCACAGCCAAAGTAATGAATCAGGGTTCACATAAGCAGTGAAGCCCTCTCAACACAATCAAATATTTGAGGATTTGCTGATTAAGGGAAATCCTTGATTTGTCATAAGTCGGTAGGTCAAGATCGTTTGTACTGAGCTAATTCCCTGTCGTAAGACTGGCATATCTGCGTCATACGGTGCGATGCCACCATAATCAGATACACGGACGCTGTCGTGATGCACCGGGCGACAACATGCTTCGACACGAATACGTCCGCAGATGGCTCATTAATGAACCCATGTGGACACATCATTACAACATTATGATATCATTGTTAATTGGCTTTTTAAAGTGCTGCAGCTAACGCCTCTACTCTGATGCTGGTCAAAGTCGGTTCTGCAACCTATAAAACAGTCCTCTTGACGACTTGAATGTGATGGGCGGACCTGCCTTTTTGAGAACAGGCGGATATCGCGCTGACCTCCCAAAGCTTAGAGTTCAGCTGACAAGGTATCGGTAGCCGCGAATTAGGATGACCGATCTCCTGAGCTAGGCGCGGGATCATGATTTACTGGAGTAGAGGTACTATAACAACTAGGCAGCTTACAAGCCACATGACTGAACTTTAGACCTTGGAAGTGGCGACAGGCCGAGGGCCAGCATGACAAGCTTAGCACATGTCCAAGAGTGGGAACACGGTCTATATAATCAGGTGCCAACCCATCCAACATCTACGAGTCTCAGAACCAGACACAATCATTCGCAACTACAATCCCCAGCAGATTCACGCGCGCGCACAAACACCTTAGATTCCAAGATGCAGTTGTCTATTGCGACTGCGACTACTTTCCTGCTTGCCTTCACAGGCGCCGCCACTGTGCAGAAGCGTCAACATCCAGCATGTGCACCTTATTTCTATGACGGCAGCGTCTTTCCCTTTGACTACGCCTGGGGCAAGTATGAACTCTGTTGTAACTACAACGGCGTCAACTCGGCTGTATGTCATCATCCTATCGATTTCCTTCGAAATGTGATTGCGCATTATGCGACTTGTTTTATTAGTAATTGACGATGCCCGTTGATAACCAGGATGGTTGTTGTGATCGTAACGGTGCAGGAACGGGCAGCGGCTTCCCCGCCTGTGTGGCCAAGCCATAGTTTGAAACAACTATCATCGAAGGCTCGTCTTGTAGTCATTACTTGATGGCTTCGACTCAAGGGCCCGGGAATACAAGGGTTTACGAGCATGTTAGCGCAAATTCATACATGCGTCCGTAACTTGCATACCATTCTCATTCATCGTCTCACTTCCCCGCCCTTTCCATCATGTGACAACAGTAAAGACCGTTTTCGCCCATTGTCTGATCTCAGTCATTCAAACCCGGCATTTCCATGACAAGATTCCCACCAATTGACCTGGCAGTAGCCTGTCCAGGACCTCGCTGCCTGGGAGACTTGGAGTCAACTCGTATGTCCCGCGATGCCTTGCGACATATCGCAGAACACGACAACAGTCATGACTACCCATATTGCTGGGGCTATGCTATCTTCCGCACTGTATATACGCCCGGTTCCGATGAGGTCATAGCAAACGCCGTCGACCGGCTAGCCATCTATGCGAAGCTTTTTACTCAGGAGCACCAAACTCATCCAAGGGTGCCAGGAGCCGCGATGGCATTCAACATCCGCCCGAATGAAGAGCTCTGGAGCCGCTACTATAGTGAGCTGGTACAGGACGAACAGACTCTGTCCAATGCGACTGAGAGTGATGTCGGGGACAGCTTCGATATTTGGGTTAGGCAACACCGCCGTCCTATGACTAGCAGTGTCCTTGAACGCAATAGCAGGTTCAATTTCTGCCTAATGCTGGACGAGGAGAGCCTCGAAAATACTCTTGCCATGCCAGAGGATCCTTACGCCCCGGCCAATAGTATTGCTCGTAGCGAGGGCGAGGGCTGGGTCAAGCTTATCTCGAAAAGAATGCGGTCCGAAGACGAGGGAGGCGGCGGCAGGTATTGGTTAAGAGTCGGAATTAGGGATTTCTTATGGCCTGTGTGGTTCTTCCCATCTGACTCGGATATCCTGATTGAGGAGATGGGTTGGTGTGATGCAGAGGATGGAGTACAAAACCTCTGGGGCATGCCTGATGACTGGTTTACGGAGATTATGGCAGCTCAGTCCGGCAGTCAAACCGAATGATAATGTGACACTCCAAATTATACTTTTTTGCTTCGAAGTTGATCGACAGACCTCTTTCCTCTCCACTTACCTCGACAGATCGTCCGACACGATTTCCGGCAAGAGGCAGGTAGTAGTATACAAGTCGCCCTCGTTCATCCCATCAATGGTTGTTGGAGTTATCGGCAACCTTCCTGGATCTTGGGTATATCCTGTTCCAAGACTTGTTCGAGAGTTGACTTTATGTTCTCGCCAGCGCTGACAGGCCCACCTCATAAGTCTTACCCTTTCTATAGCGCAGCACACAGAATATTGCCGAAGATACAAATGAGATTTTCCGGTTTGATTGTCAAACAGCCTCTGCTAACGTACTAATAAAGCCTTTTACCATGCTGGAAGTAGTAAGACCCACGCTGCTATTTTTCTATCTAGCTAAGAGGTTTTCTCCGACAAGCCTGAATGGCTAGGGTATAGTTTGAACAACCTAGCCAACCTCAAGTTCTCGGAGGGACAAACACCATGATAGTGTCACACAGGCGCAAACTGCTTTAATCTCGTTGGCATTACTGTAAACACTGAAGATATCTTGATGATAGGTTGCGTTCAGGCCTGGATACCTTGGTACCAAATAAGCACTTAACCACATGGTTAAAAGCTTATAATACCTGACTAGCCTTGGACTGTGTTGCAAAGTTCAATCGATTTATTTCTCAACGCTGCCTATTGCGAATGAAGTATGCGGCACATTTGTCCAATTTTGCCCTCGTGGCTTATTGTAGCAGTCCCTCAAGATAACCTGTTTTTGTGAGATGCACAGTAAATCGCGACGGGAGAAAGAACCAAGCAAAGGCGGGTAAGGGAGTCAAGCAAAACGACGAGAAAAAACAAATGCAACGTCACCCGTGCAGGTATCTTTGACGCCGTGCACCGTTTTGTTCATGAACATCGGCAGTCTTGGGCTTGTTGACAAGACCACCCGACAACTGGCACTGCCTGTGGCACTACATGGGCAAGGCGAAGACAAGTGAACAGGTCAAGCTGTCCGTTGTACATTGGCTTGTGATCAGAAGCTTTGAGCCGAATCCTTAAAAGGTTTGTCACCATTGTTGTCCATCGCGCCATCCACCTGGGCCACGACATGCAAGCCAATTTGCCCAGCAGACGACATCGACCCTCATTCAAGATCACGAGGAAGTCGACTGTGCGGATCCAGAGGTTCATGCTATATTCTCGAAGCCCACAGGCTGCAAATTCCGAACCAGGCCGCGGTGCATGCAGGCAGGGGTCCTTTTCATCACCTTCTTAGGTATCCTACAGTGACCCCTGAATGCCGCGAATCAGCATCAAATAGCCGCCACAAGCCGGCAGCAGAACCCGAGGCCACGGGGATAGCCATGCCTAGGCGTGAGGCCATTGCTTTTTGTAGGAAGGTCATTATGAGTGATGCGAGATTGCCGCTGTGCGAATATCATCGCCTTAGGTGCAGGCCTTGTTGCTCAGCCTTTTGCGGGCGCCATGGGTCCGCTCTTCAAGGACCAACCATCGTAAGGGGCAATGCTGGCTGGTGAGCAAGTTTTGATTCCACAGTACCCTACCGGGAGGATGCCCCGGCGATCTGTCTTGGTCAAGGGGGCCCTGCAGTGATGGACTGACTAGGGCGTATGCGGCACAGGCGCCGCCACAGCGTGCTAGAAACGGCATTTGATCGGCACATGGCATACGATGGATAAGCGAGAGGCTCGTCGGTGGGGCACACCTCCTTTGGACGACAGGTGCTGGACCACCTGCCGGGGTTTTGACCAGGTAGGTACAGCCGCTCATTCCCTGGCGACCACCATGACCAACCGCCCAACGCGCATCGTGCTACCCCCGACAAGGGTCAGACATTGTCGGTTAAAAATGTGGTGTATCTGGCAAAAGTTCGACGATGGTGCATATGCTGGCGGGTCGACGATACGATTTGTCGTGTCGTGAAGCATGGACTCGATGGTTGAAGGCTAAAGTTGGGATGCCTACAAATACCTCGGTAGGTACTTGAGGTGAGGTACCTTACCTAGGTACCTAGGGATGACCAGCCTGAGCTGTCGGCCCTTCCTCAGGGTCGTCATTAATGTCTTACAATTCTGCGGTGCACTCAGTGGCAGCATTGCATAAACTTTCCATGTCTGCACTGCACGCCACCTGTCATTCGTGGCTTCCAGTTGTTCGCCCTCTCAGCTTCACCTGCCCTCCCGACCTGGTACGGCGCACAGCGATCTTGTTAACTATCTGCCCAGGAAAGCCCGATAATGGCACCATCACCTCCTCCGACACAACGATGCTCCGATGATCCCGTCCTCATCATCGGCGCTGGAATCAGCGGCTTACTTCTTGCTCAGCATCTCCTTCATCGCTCTGTGCCCTTCCGCATCTTCGACCGCGATGCCGATTTCACGACTCGTGGAGTTGGTTGGGGCTTGACCTTGCACTGGTCTCTCCCCGCCATTCGCACGCTTCTCCCCGACAAATTGGTTCAGCGTTTGCCAGAGACATATGTCGACCGTGACGCGGTGGAGCGAGGAGAGACATCCAGGTTTCCTCTCTACGACCTGGCCACGGCTAAACTCGAAGCCGCCACACCGCCAGCCACCGAGGCCCAGCGTATTCGCGTCACCCGTGAAGGTCTCCGCCAGCTCATCGCCGAGGATATCCCGATCGAATGGTCCAGGGCGTTCTCCTCCTTTGAGCAACATGGCGAGCGCATCACTGTCAAGTTTGACGATGGTTCAGAGGCCACTGGTCGCCTCGTCGTCGGGTGTGATGGCAGCACATCCCGCGTCCGTCGCGCCGTGTTCCCTGACCAACACAGAGGATACCACCTTCCAATCCGCGTTCTCGGTTTCACAGCCAAATATACAGCACCAGAGATTGCTCCTATGAAGGCGCTTGACCCCTTCTTCCTCCAAGCCACCTCGTCTCAAGATAACAACTTCATGTACTTCAGCAGTACGTATACCTCTTCACATGCCCAGCACCCCATGCCCCCTGTTCCTTGCGATGCGGCGCACCCCTGTGGGCCTGCTGGACTCCCCAGGGTCCCCGAAACTAACAAACTTCCAGTCCTCGACGCCCCGGGAAACACACCCCAGCCAAACAAGGCAGACTCTGTCTCCATGTACACCGGCCAGGTTGTGGTGTCCTGGCCCTACCGATCGGGTTTTCTGTACCGAGACTCTCCCCTCGATTTTCCCGAGAACGAAGATGCCAAGCGAGCCCTCATCAGCTCCTTCGCCCAAGCGTGGGCGGAGCCGTTCCGTTCCGTCGCCATGGGCGTTGCAGCCAGCGCCGAGGTCAAGCAGCTAGAGTTGCAGGACTATGTTCCTGGTGAGGGTCTGCGAAGCGCGGGCCGAGTAGTGCTCATGGGAGATGCCTTTCACGCCATGACCATGTGTAAGTCATCGCATGATTCTTTGACTGTGACTGTCTTGGGTGATGCGATCCGATGCTAATGGACACTCGTAATTAATCAGACAGGGGTGAGGGTGCAAACCACGCAGTTCTGGATGTGCTCGACTTTTCTGAGAAGGTCAGTCCGTGCCTCGAAACTGGCGAGGGGGACCTGCGGGCTGCGTTGGATGTGTATGAGGATGGAGTAGTCAAAAGAGTGAGGCCGGCTGTGCTGGCTGCTCGAAGAGCTTGCCTTGATGCACATGATTGGACCAGGATCATGCCTACTAGCCCGCTATTGACGAGGAGGGAGGCCTTCATGCACTATGAGGAAACAGAACCTTGGGAGGCATAAGGTGCCATGTCCGTATTTACACTGCGTCGCGTTTGATTCATAAGTTACTGCTGTGTCATGCTCCTCAGTTGATAGGATCTACAAGTTCGTCTTCTATGCCTACCGTAAAATGAACGATCTTCATCGTGCATGCGAGGTCCTGAGTCGTGGACAAATACAGTGATCTACACCATCTCAAACAAGGGCCTGTCACATCTATCCACTCCATCTAGAGATCTAAGCGGCCCGCCGCTTTACTGGATGATGATGTTGCGGCCGCGTTATCGTCCACCTGAACAGAATACGTCATGGATTTGACAATGGAGTGCTCCGGCAGCGTCGAGAGAATGTTCTCTTCGCTGTTGCTCCTATCATTCGCCGAAACGAACGCGCTCTTGTCGCGCCCGACATCGCTGAGCTTGTAACGGTCGCCACTTTTGCCTCCAAGGACATGCGATCCCGAACGGCCGTACCCGCTGGTTGGTTTTGAGCGGTAGCCACGGGCCTTCTTGACAAAGACGGGCGCTAGGAAGGGCAGCGAAGAGACGACATTCTGAGACTGATTAGCCACTGCCCGAAGGTTGTAGCACGAGGCTTGGCGCAAGGACTTACGCCGACATTAAATTCAATCGTGCCCCAAAGAACGAGCATGGTGGAGTTGCCATCGCCGAACTGAATGCGGTTGATTTGGGTATATCTCATGACGGAGCAGATGGTGGTGAAAATGCCGAGGATAAAGACGACAATTAGGCCCAGCTTCTTCTCGAGCTTGATATTGAGCTTCAGCAAAACCGGGATGGGTAGTAATGTGACGATGATATCTGAAACAATTGTGACAACGGCGTAGCCCGTAAACGAAGGACCTGGAGGGAGGCAGACGCCTGCCTTGAGCGGATTCCATGACTTGTCAACCTGTGAGCTTAGGGTTAGCGGGTCGACAACATGGCGAACTTTTTGACATGAGGTATCATACCGGATCACAAGCAAAGATGAGTGCGAGGGTGCATCCTAAGTGGCTGCAGAATACAAATCCTATGATGGCCCAGACCACTTTACGATATGTTTTGTGGTCTGTGCCTTGGAGAAGGCGAAGGTAACTTATCAGCAGAGCAATTTTGAAGAAGCTGATGCCGAGTTGGTAAAAAGGCCGTCCTGCGAAATTGACTCTGGTATAGGTGACAAGATTGGCTTTTGGTCGAAGGAGAACTGGCAGCCCCAAGCCGTACCGAGTTTCTATACATGTAAGCCACAGGAAGACTCAGCCGTGAGGGGGTGATTTTTGACGTACGAACCACAGTCAAGATGGAGTAGACCAAGGCGAACAACATTGAAAGCCCAGCAAAGTAATCGTCCGCCGCGAGCCCGCGCGCCTTGTGACGAATAAACAACCTTGATGACACAACGGTGATGGACATGAACGACAAAGCCACACATAGCCCGATGATCAGAGGCCACTGTGAGATGGCCTCAACCTCGGGCGACGCGTTTCGCACCCATCCCATAGTCCCGTCTGTCTGCTCCAGAAGTCTCGTTGAAATCAAATGAGTTCGGTTCAGGCCGTAGTGTAGTAGGTCGAAGTTTGCGGCACCGAGTGCCCTCGAAATATTCCAGAACGTCCAACTTCACTCGTGCTCGGGTCTCACAGGCGACAAGCAATTCGCAAGGAACGTGAGTGGAACATCTCCATGCTTTAAACAATGTACCCTCGCACCTAAACCTTCTCGCGGCCCCGTCCTGTCGTCCCTCCGATGATCCCACAGCTTTCAATGTCGAACCAGTGCAGGTGTCTCACCACCAGCAAGGGATCGGCAAGGATAGTGCGCGAAAAGAATGAACCAGTCACCAAGCCCGTCACCTTCCTCATGCTTGCGTCTACTCTTGTTATCCCGTGGGTCGCCGCAGCTTTGTCAGGGTCGAGTCAAATTGCATGAGGCAGAATAGATAGCTCTGACATCTCCCAGGACCGGGGACACTGCCAGTGCTCCAGCGACGATACCGTCCGGGTACTTCTTTCGCCAGTTCACCGGCCCTGGCACAGATCGAGCGAAATTTGAGACAGACCACTGCCAGACTGAGAAGAATAATGTAACCTCCGCCAAGGGGCCAAGCTTCCTCTGTGCAGGCCTGCAGAGAATGCGGCACAGTTGGCGAAGTTCCAAAAGCGCCACTTATGCTGCAGGCGAAAATGTTTGCTTCAGTGTTTGCTTCAATGAATGGTACAGTACACCTCATTAGCTTCACATAAAACGTCCAGGGTACCAGGGCATCTGGACTTACCCAGCGAATAGGCCGACGAAAGGCTTCACCCGGCAGTCATGCCATCGTTGCCCATTTCGTGGCTTGCTCCATGGTCTGCTAGGGTCGAGTTCTTCGAATACGACGTCGAGATTCCCCTCAAACCCCTGGTCCCATCCCGCTTCCACCCGGACGATCTGGCGGTTCACCCACCCTGTCCCTTGACTGTCTGCCGCAACCACCCTGGTCCCTGCAGCACGGCATAGTTGCCGCGACGTGGTAGAGCATGCACACTGCAGGCTTCTTTTACTTCAACTAACGAACTAGCCTGCAGGCTCGTTCGATTCGGTTTTGTTCTTGCTTGTAAGTGCATCCAGAACACCAAGGGTAGTCTGCCCGTTGGCTCGCATCTTGTCTAGAGAACCTGACCTTCCCCTGTCGGCTGGATTTGCGAGGCAAGCCGAAGCAGTCAAACCTTGCCACAGTCCTGCATCATGCAGCTATTCATTCGGATATTGTACAAAGATTGTCAGCTTGGCGGACCAGGTTCAGTTCGGTGTTCATCGGGTCCTCATATTGGCCACTTTGGCGGTTCTGCTCTTAGCCTTTGTCGCATCTGTCTCATGCAACCTCATATAACCCGCGCGGGAGATCCAATTACTCGTCTCAAGTGACTCGGTAACCCAACTTTCCACCATCACCTTCAGCTGCCAGCTCATCATATTTATTCTGACTTGCTTTTCTGGTTGGCCCCGTTGGAATTCGCGCGTGGTCTCGTCTATGTCAGCTTCTCCCTGGTGCTGTCGATCATCGTTCGTGTCTGAGACCATTCCCCCGTGAGCAGTACTGGAAAGCTCGCACTCCCCTTTTGTCCCGCCTGCCAGTCTTTCCCTTTTTTCACCTCAGTCGCGAACAGAAACGCAACGATCAAACAACGAGCACAAGCAGTCATGTCGTCGACCGGTGAAAATTCTACCCACGAGGGTAAGGGCGATCCCTTCGAGCCCTCTGAAGCGGTGCCGGGCGCGCATGCTGGCACTGGCACGAACCGCGTCGATGCCGCCTGGGAATATCTTAACGCCAACCGGGGCATGGAGTACGCGCAGGTAGACCTTGCGAAACTACGGCGCAAGATTGATTGGCACATTGTACCGCTGATGTTCTGCTGCTACACAATGCAATTCCTCGACAAGGTCATCCTCAATGTAGGTGTTCCCTGGCACCACGAAACGATGGACAGATCGCTCGGTGTTCTCAGTCGCTGACCATTGGCCTGTGATATACAGTACGCTGCTGTCATGGGCATTCGCGATGACCTCAACCTTCAAGGCAATGATTTCTCCAATGTTGCGACATTTCTCTTTGTTGGCCTACTGTGCTTTGAGATTCCTAATAGTAAGTGAAATTAATAGCGAGCTACGACTCGAGCGCTCTCCGTGCGAGGCCGCGCGCCGCTCGCTGTCTCGGCATTTGCTCCTCCCGCCAGGCCAAAGACATCATGCTGACCCGCATCGTCTTGCCTTGCTCTTCAGTCTACTTCCTCCAGGCCGTCCCCGCAGCCAAATGGCTCGGCTTCAACGTGGTGGCCTGGGGCATTGCAACCGCATGCGGCGCCGCAGCGCATAACTACACAACACTGCTCGTGTCACGCATCTTCCTAGGCATCTTTGAGGCGACCATCGGGCCCTCACTCATGCTTATCAGCAGCCAGTACTACACCAAGTCGGAGCAGGCCCCACGCTTCTCCTTCTGGTACCTTGGTCTCGGTCTCGGGCAGATCATGGGCGGCGCGCTGTCCTACGGGTTTCAGCACATCACTGGTGCCGGGTTGGCGGGATGGCGCATCATGTTCATCACGCTCGGCGCTGTGACCGTCGTCATCGGCGTGGCCACGTTCTTGTTGTTGCCTGATACGCCCATGAAGGCGCGGTGGATGACTGATGGCGAGAAAGTTGCCCTTCTGAAGCACGTAAGCGTTAACCAGACGGGCATCACGGACAAAACGTTCCGTCCCAAGCAGATCTTGGAGGCCCTTGCGGACCCTCAGATTTATCTCATGGTTCTTGCCGTTGTACTGGTGAGTTCCTTCTACTTGGTCCCCTCAAACACATGCCCGGTCCACAGCCACGTGCAGTTGATTTCATGGAGTCGCGACTGACACGGCATGTACCCCTTTTCAGCTCTCGGTGTCCAGCGGTGTCGTCACCACCTACTCGGCGACGCTGATTCGAAACCTCGGATATACGCCCAAGAAGGCAGCCCTCATGAACATGCCGTCGGGCGTCGTCAGCATCTTCTTCACGTTGTTTGTCGGCTTCGGCATTCGTATCAAGTCCCACCGATGGGCTTGGATCGTTGCCTGTATCTGCCCAGCGTAAGTCCCAAGCGGCTGCAGTCATCGCCCTTGACTAACAATTCGGCAGCATCTTGGGCGGCGCCCTCATGTCATTCCTGCCCGTATCCAACCGTTCCGGATGTTTGGCAGGCATCTACCTCGTCAATGCGGTTGTCGCCCCGCTGACCGTCTTCTACGCTGTAAGTCACACTCTTCTCTTGCTCGTGGTCCCATCCGCCATCTACTCAGCCCAACCGCCGGACACTGCATTCCAGTCCAAAAAGGGGAAACGAGACTGATATGAACCCGTGTCTCACAGTGGACGGCTGCCAACGTTGCTGGCGCCACCAAGCGCGCGTTCGCCGTCGCCATTGTCAGCGGTTCGTTCTCACTGGGCAACATCATCGGCCCCCAGACATTCCAGGCCCGCGACGCGCCGGACTACATCCCCGCCAAGCTCGCCGTCATGGGCACGCAGGCCGGCTGTGCCTTTGTGACCGTCTGTCTCGTCGCCTACTACGCCTGGACGAACAAGAAGCGTGCCTGTTCGACGTTGGATGCCGAGGCGGAGACCGAGGCGTCGTACCTGTCACCCGAGGTCTGGGCTCAAATGACGGACAGGGAGAACAAGAAGTTCAGGTATACGTATTAGGGCCGTCATTGCCGGCGTCGTGGTCGCTGGGCTTCAGCCCGAGTCAGTGTGTATCATGGTAGAGTAAGCGAGCATGTGAACAGGGACGACGATCGACAAGCGTTACTGAGGCTGTCGCTGGCGGCCAACCTCCGAATTGAAGACCTTTCCCCCTCAATGGCCTCCGATGATCGCAGCGATCGTGCTGCCGACAGTTCCGTTCGAAGAGCATCAGCATTTTTTTCTGCTCCATATTTTGGGCCGAGAGAGAGAATCGCATCATGCGTGAATTAAAAGAAGAGACTAACTGAGGGTTTCGAGCAGCACGGCCGATGACTGAAAGATAACGAAGATGGTGTCATTTTTTCTCTTCGGCCTCTATTCCAGGCCGCGGTTCGGTCCGCGCGCCGAGCTTTCAAGCTTCTTTCTGTCAGGGTCTTCTCCGAATTTCTTCTCTCGCTTGCTTGTCCTCCCCCACCTTGCCTTGACTTGCTCAGCTTAGATGCTTACTTTATCTCACCTCGCTGTAACCCTGCTGACCTTGCTCACCTTGCTCGGCCCCCGCCATGGGGACTGATCGGGATCGCGTCATCCGCTCAATTGCCGCTCATCCACACCTCAACCCTTCTTCATCCTTTCAACCCTACGTCTTTCACGCTTACTCGGCTCTCAATCGCACAAGAAAGGCTCTCCCCTGCCTCTTGGCGTGCCCCTTTCCCTTCTTCCCCCGCCGTTTCCCCCCCCGCATCGCTAGTGCGAAGCTCCCCCGCTGCGTTTGCCCTCTTCCAGACGCGCCCCCGAGTCTGCCGACAACGCCTCCTGTCAGGGGAAATGAAGGTTCGCCATGTGCCACTCGGCCCCTCGGCGGAGAGAGTCCCGGCATACATCTTTGGCGTGCCTTACGCGATGCAACCCCCGCAAACCGAAGATGAGCCTGATGCGCCATGGTTTACGCTTCCCCACGTCCGATACGACACTAGACCACGCCGAGGCATCGTCTCCTCTCATCCGGCTGCGCGCCGTTAGACTTCAGAGCACTGGTGATCTCAAGAATCGTTCAACCTCATCTCCGGCCGATTGGTGGAAACCAGGGTCTACCCGGAGCCCTGTCTACTATCGTGACTCGGAGAGGCATCTCATTGGGACATCAGAGGGCTACCGGAGGGGCGTGCCAATTTAACCATCATGATGTCAACCACCCTCGTCGTGGTGTTTTGTCCCGAGATCGGGTCGCGTGGCAATAGTTGTTGCAGTGCACGCGTCTCGAGGGAACAGCTTATAACGATGAGGAGGAGCACGCCAACTTGCGGCTTGAGACATCCTCAAGCTCGTTCAGTCAAGCTGGGCTGGTCCTATCCAACCCTTCGTCAGTCCTTACCTCCCTGACGTACCGGCCTAATTCGTCCGGCGTACCGGTCCAAATCGCTCGCCGATACCGATACCCTCACATTAACAACCGCCATGGCACGCCTAGCTGCCTCCCTGCTGGCCCTCTCCAGCCTCCTGGGCTCGGGAGCATCGGCGCCGACCAACATCACCTCCGAGACGGTTAGCGTTCACTGGCTCGGCAATGCTCCCAACCAGACCATCGGCACCACCTTCGGCCTGCCCTGGCCTAAGGGCAAGTACGACGCCAAGAAGACCGACTTCACCATCTCGGGTGGCAGCGGCGAGAGTCTGCCTCTCGAGTCTTGGGTCAATGCCTACTGGCCCGATGGCTCCATCAAGTGGAGTGGCCACGCCATCGGTGCCTCCGACAGCCCGTCCGGCGAGTACACCGTCACGGCCTCCGGATCCCCCGCCAGCAATTCGACATGCGCGAGGCGTGCCAAGAGGGCTGCCCAGGCGACAGCTCTGACCGTGTCCGAATCGGACGACAGCGTCGACGTTGATACGGGCAAGATCGCCGTCTCCTTCCCCAAGAAGGGCAGCTCCATCATCAGCAGCATCGAAACCGCTAACGGCAACACTGTCGGACGCAACGGCAAGCTCGTCCTCCACTCCCAGTCTGCCGTCAACGAAGACGCCCAGGACCGTGGCAAGACTGCCATTGACTACCACAACTTTGAGAGCGACATTCACAATGTAACCGTCAGCGAGGAGAATACAGTTCGCACCCTCGTCACTGTTCGTGGCGCCCACAAGGCCAGTAGCGGAGACAGCCACGTCGACTGGCTGCCTTTTGTCCTGCGTTTCTACCTCTACGCCGACTCTGAGGCCATTCGCCTCGTCCACACCGTCATCTACGACGGCAAGACCGACAAAGACTTTATCAGTGGTCTCGGCATCCGCTTCCAGGTGCCCCTTAAGGGTGAGGAGGTGTACAACCGCCACGTCAGGCTTGCTGGCCCCGACGGCGGCCTTCTGAGCGAGGCTGTCAGGGGTATTACTGGTCTCCGCCGTGACCCTGGCGCCACCGTGCGTACTGCCCAGTTCGAGGGCCAGAAGACCCCTGACATCGGCACCTGGGACACTCGTGTTTCGTCGAGGATGCAGTGGATCCCCGAGTGGAACGACTTCAGCCTGTCACAGCTGTCGCCTGACGGTTTTACCCTGAAGAAGAGGACCAAGGCCGGCCAGAGCTGGGTCACTATCCCTGGCGCCACTCGTTCCGGGGGTCTCGCATATCTCGGCGGCGCCACCGCTGGTGGTCTTGCCGTCGGCCTCCGCGACTTCTGGAAGCGCCACCCCACTGGTCTCGATATCCGCAATGCGGCCGCTGATGAGGGAGAGATCACCCTCTGGCTCTACAGCCCCGAAGGATCCCCTCTTGACCTGCGCCCCTATCACGATGGCCTCGGTCTGGACACGTACGCGAAGCAGCTCGACGCTCTTGAGATCACCTACGAGGATTGGGAGCAGGACCTCGATACCCCTTACGGTATTGCTAGGTCCAGCGAGGTCTTCCTCTTCGGCTTCGAGTCCACTCCTTCTCGCGACGAGCTGTCTGACCTGACTACCTACATCAACAAGCCCCCCGTCCTGGTCCCTAAGCCCGAGACATTCCACGAGTCTGGCGCTGTCGGCTCCTACTGGGGTCTGCCCGACACCTCGTCGCCGTCTGCCGCCGTTCTTGAGGGCCACCTTGACTTCCTCCTCGACTTCTACTTCAAGCAGGTCGAGCAGCGTAGGTGGTACGGCTTCCTTGACTATGGTGATGTCATGCACACCTACGACGTTGACCGCCACCAGTGGCGCTACGACATTGGTGGCTACGCCTGGGATAACTCTGAGCTGTCCCCCGACCTCTTCATCTGGCTCCAGTTCCTCCGCACCGGCCGTGAGGACGTCTACCGCTTCGCCGAGGCCATGACCCGCCACACCGGTGAGGTTGATGTCTACCACATTGGACCTCTCAAGGGCCTCGGCACCCGCCACGGCATCCAGCACTTCAGCGACAGCGCCAAGCAGGCCCGTATCTCGACGGCGCAGTACAGGAAGTACTTCTACTATGTCTCGGGCGGAGACGAGCGTATCGGCGAAATCCTCGAGGAGACTCTGGATGTCGATCAGACCTACGCCAAGCTCGACCCCAACCGCAAGGTTCGCGGTGACGGCGTTAAACCCACCGAGACTGCGGCGCCCATTGGCCTTGGCACTGACTTCTCCGGCTTGGCTGCTGGGTGGCTCGTTGAGTGGGAGCGCCGCGGTCCCCGCTACGAGGAGGCCCTGACCAAGCTCACTAAGGTCGCCTCCGGCATCGCCAGTCTGAAGAACGGCTTCGTCTCCGGCTCTGCCATCTACAACCCCACAAACGGCGATCTCAGCCCCCCTCCCGCCGACCCCGACAACAGCGGCAACGTCGCATCTCTCATCTTTCTTCTGTCTTTGGTCTCGTCGAGGTCATGGCTGAGCTGACGGACCACTGGGGCTCTGACGCTCCCGAGGGCTTCGAGCAGGCATGGTTCGACTACTGCTACTACTACAGCGCCAGGAATTGGAGCAAGCTGCCCGCTACGGTACGAACTTTGGCCGCGGAACCTTGTCCAGGCTCACTCTCGCCTGACGGCCTAATGCCCTCTCACAAGACGGACAACTCCAGCCTTGCCGCACGCGCCTGGGCTGAGTACAACCGCGATGGTCTGCGCGCCAACGCCCCTTGGGCCAGCGTCAGACTCGAGGGCAGCGCCGTCCTGCACCCCATTGATGAGGCCGCCTTCATCAGCACCAACGACTTCTCTCAGTACGGCCTGGCCACGATCCAGAACCTTGCCCTCGCTCGCGAGGCTCTTCCTTGAAAAAATAGTAGCGAAGAAAAAGTCATGACTTAGCCAACTTCACGTACATAATTCTTTTAACTAAACATAATCTGTTCATGCTCATCCTGCCTTTCCTCAACTCGTGGAGTGACATGAAGTCGAGTGAAAACAAGTTCCTTATGTTTCCAAGAGATCTCCCCGCCAGTGGTCCTCGATTCGTACACAGCGCGGTCAATGATCAGCTGACTTCAGTAACGTTCTCCATCGTGTCATCGAGCGAGATACCCACAGTAGCCTCCGCGGCATACTGCACGGCACCAGGCCGCGTCTTGAACGCTTGGAGGATACCTCTCTCTTTGCCGATCGCTAACAGAGCGAGCCGCGCCGTGTTCCGCAAGTGTTTTGGCACAGTTCGCGTCGTGTACACGTGGCTCAGTGGTGAGATCTGCGACATGCCCTCAAACCATGACGCGTAGGTCGCTGTCGTAAATTCCGGAGACCTCCCACCAAGAGAGACAGGTATCGAGTCGATTGTTTCCTGAGCAGCCGTGGCGACTATGGCAAGGCATCTGTCTTTGGTCGCTTCCAGCATGAAGCTGTCGAATACTTCCGCCGTTTGTGAGATTCGATTCGCGGGAGTGTGTAGCACGAGGTTTGCCAGCATGAAGAAGAGGTTGTGGAGTTTCAGTCGGGCACTTCTCCAAATATTCCAGAAGAAGTGGGTGTGTGACGAAGGCGCCAGCTCTTCCGGCGCGGCCTGGGCCATCCAGCGAAAGCACTCCTGTTCAAGGGCAGAGACCTGCTCGAGAAGGGAGTGATAGTGTCGCCGCGCCCCATCGAATAGCCCTTCGCACACCATAGGGAAGATCGTAGAAATGAGTGAGCACGCTTTGCAGATGTACCTGCAAACCAAAAGTGACCAGCCCTCATCTGGGTCTCTCGTATCTTCAAGGAGGCCCACCCATTCGTCTGATTCTGGGGGGCAGGCTTCGTTGGCCATTAGGCAGCCCGTTTGCTGGAGGATAAATCAACACTCGTTCGAGTAAATTCCAAGAATCCCACTCACCAGCGTCATAAATACACACCAGAATATGTAGCGGCCGAAGGGGGTATAGAACTGTGCCTTGCCGCGAGCCCGCAAGAGACTCAAGAGACCTTCTAAGTGTACGTGCCAGGCAGACTTCCGCGAGCTCTGGCCCGAGATGCCGCCTATTTGAAGCTAGGAACAGTGTCAGTGCAACCTGTCCGCTTGGTTAGACTCTGACAGTCAGACCTCGTACATGCCAAGGATCCAAACGGCAAGGATAGTGCCGTCTGACGTGCCCTTGTCGCGGTCTTGAATTGCCAGCGCTACCGACCTGAGCGTGTTTCCCAGATGCAAAGCAGTCTCCCGGCGGTCTTGGGGTGCATAGAAGCAACTGCCAAGATATGCTCGAGCCCAGAGATGTGTGGCCATGATCAACGGCTCATTTGGCGAAGTAAGCTTCTCGAATATGGCCGAGAAGAATGCAACAGGTGCATAGCAGTTGATTAGTAGAGGGATAGAATGCGTTCTCCAGGGTTCTCTGAGCTCTCGCGCGTGTAGGGTCGGAGTCAAGGCAAAGGCCGCGCTAGACATTGCTGAAGGGCTCTGGGCAAACGGGGTTGTAGAAGAGGCCGTGGGCGTTGAGGCCGAGGAGGAATTGTCATGCAATATCATGACTGCTGAAGAAATCGGTCCATCAGCTTCCGGAGACTCGGAGCTAGAATTCTGCACCGCAGACTTTTTCGCTCGTCGAATGGTGTGTGAGGTCTCATTCCGGAAAACAACATCCTGTTCGTTTCTGTAGCCCGGACACTCGGTGCCATACTTGATGCATCGTTGGCAGGAGGGACGTCCCAGATCACACTATGACGAGGTGAGTCAATTGCTCAATCTCGCTGACCTTCGGATTCCAAGTACGGACCTTGACACGGCGCCGGCGACAAAGGTGACAGTCTCGACTTGGCTTGCCCGTATTGGGCATACCGGAATGCTGAGCGGGGTGACGCTGACGAGCTGCCTAGACGCCTAGTCACGCCAGGAACGACAGGTTGGTGTACCAGCTCAGATCTTTGTTGCTTTGTGTGAGCTTCTGGAGCAGAATCAGACTACTTTCTTCAGCCCTTCGACGTCTCGATGATGTGTATGAATCACGGGGGTGAGGACAACAAAAGAAGTAGGCCTTAGTAGGTGTCAGCATAGTGCCGAATCTCCGACAAGGCCTAGTGTGATCTTATCAAGACGATCGATTAATACTGTGGATTGCCCCGTATCACGCGTCCCTCATTGGCTGCTTGAACTGATCTCCCGATGCTGCATTCGCATCAACGTGTACCATCATCGCAAAACTAAACGCACCAGCAGCGCCGGACTAGCCCACGTCGATGTGACGAAGCCTGACTGACATCTTCAGGGAAGAATGCAAGTACCGGGCTCAATGCGTCCTGGTGTAAATACCTTCGCCTCTCCCTCATGTAAGTATCTTCATCGGAAGTCCCATCCTCATCATCTACAAGATCCAGCTTCACGGAGACAAGTTGGTACCCGTTCCTCCGATTGTTCCAATACTTGTATGCTACTTCGAAAGTGCTGGAAGCGAATCGAGCGCTGTAGAAGGCGGCAGCGATGATTGAAATTCCAAAGCTAGCCTGCGCAATATGGCACTCTTCCCCAACTCGTCCTGGGCAATGTCGAGTCAAGTACCACGGGTGGGGGCTTGGATGTTCCATGTCAGAGAAATCGCCAGATGCCTGCGACGAAACGCTATAAATCCAAACGAAGGCAAGGAAAGCATCGTAAAGCATCGAGAAAGTCCGAGACATCTGGCCACAGGATGACATGACCACCCGAGCTACCAAGACGAAAATAGACAAGAGGGCGACGGCAAGGGAGGCATCGGTGAGCCTATGGCAAATTAGCGCTCAGAGAACAACTCAACACTTTGCGAGCTAGGCTCCATTCTCCATACCTCTGAGTCCAGATCA